GCACTAATAGAAAGAATGAGGCCCCAGGCGGGGATGATGCAGGCTGACTGTCCCAGGTACTTGGCATACTGAGGCCAGCCAGGGCAACTTATTAAGATGCTTTCTCAAAATAAAATGGGGGTCATATAGCTCAACAGCAGAGCACTTGCCTCGTCTGCATGACTCAAGGGTCAATCTTCAATCTAGGACGAGGGAGAGGAGGAGGGACCACACTCCTGGTACAGAATAACGCCAAAGATGCTTCTGTGGTGATGTTTTATTTTTGCTCTAACAACAACAAGAAGAAGAAGATCAGAGGGTAGAGCTAGTTACTAGTTAACCATAGAGGCCAGGCGATGGTGGCTCACACCTTTGATCCCGGCATTTGGGAGTCACATGTCTTTAAATCCAGTGCTAGGGAGGTGGAGAAAGGAATGTAAGACATGTGGAGACAGGATCTTGGACCCATTCGGTCTGAGGATTCATAGAGACAGGATCTTGCCCTGTTGTTTTGAGGATCCGGTAGACATCCCTCTAGTGACTGGCTTCTTTATTTCTCTTCAACATTTACCCCGATATCTGTCTCCAGGTTTTTATTATTAAGACCAATTAGAATTTGTGCTACACATTTCTATTCAGGGAAAAGCATTTACCATATGTATGAATGAATATGCACACATCCTTTAAAGTTTTCATTTGTGTGTGTGTGTGTGTGTGTGTGTGTGTGTGTGTGCGCGCGCGCGCGCGCATGCGTGCATGTGTATTATAATGTGTATGTAGAAGTCAGAGGACAAGTTTCAGGAGTTGGCTCTCCCCTTCTCCCGTGTTTCAGGAACTGAACTTGGGTCCTCAGACCCTGCTGAACCAGCTTGCTAGTCCTGAATATGTAAATATACTTGTATACACATTAAATATTTCTTTTTGTGTCATTGTTTTGTTTGTTTTATCAAGACTGGGTTTCTGGATCACAAGGGGTGCGTCCACCCACTGAGATGGTGGGACTGATCTAATGGGAGCTCACCAAGGCCAGCTGGACTGGGACTGATGGAGCATGTGATCAAACCGGACTCTCTGAATGTGGCTGTCAATGAGGGCTGACTGAGAGGCCAAGGACAATGGCACTGGGTCTTGATTCTACTGCATGTACTGGCTTTGTGGGAGCCTGGTTTGTTTGGATGCTCACCTTCCTAGACCTGAATGGAGGGGGGAGGACCTTGGACTTCCCATGGGGCAGGGAACCCTGACTGCTCTTAGAACTGGAGGGGGGAGTGGGGGGAGTGGGAAGGAAATGGGAGGTGGGGAGGAGGTGGAAATTTTTAATAAATAAATAAATAAACAAACAAATAAAAAGACTGGGTTTCTCTGTGTAATTCTGACTGGCCTGGAACTCGCTCTGTAGACCAGGCTGGCCTTGAACTCAGAGATGCTCCTGCCTCTGCCTCCCAAATGCTGGAATTAAAGGTGTGCACTACCACCACCCGGCATAAACAGCTCTAAAAAATTGTAGAAGAAACTAGGAATAACTGGTACCAGCCTCTGGGAAAGAAGGCATAGATATGGGAGAGACTGGTGGACAGGGTGAGAGAGAGGTGATTTTTACTCCTGTCTCTGTACCATTTGGGTCACTTGTATCTTACGCATTTGTTTTGTGTGTACATAACTTTTGTTGCTATTGAGTAACTTTTTAATCATTTGGGAAAGGTCCCATGTTGAGCCACACCATGGTCCAAACAGCATTTCCAGCCCTGTTAGAGCAGAAGCATGAATGAGCACACCCTGTCTTCCCATGGTGTAGAATTCACTGATTGACACCACATTCACAAGCTACGTCTGTTTTCTTGGCTTCATGTTGCCAATTAACCTCCACGTTCCTGGATAGCTGGCCTTGGCAATCATACATTCTTTTACTTTATTCTTTATTTTTTTTTTCTTTTCTTCCTTTTTGAGGTAGGGTCTCACACTGTATCTCAGGCTGGCCAGGAATTCACTCTGTAGCCCAGGCTGGCCTGACTCATGCCAGTCCTGACTCAGCCTCCTCCCCAGTGACCCAGTCTCTCTCATACGAATACATTACATTCTGCACAGTTACATGTGCAGGTTACAGGGGGTGAAGTGGGTTCAGAGTTCATGCCGGCTGACCTGAAGCTGGAGGCAGAGAGCTGACACAGACGCCAGGAAATGTCTCCAGAGGGTCAGACAGGAAGTCTTGGGAGCTTCAGGGGCACAGCTGATTGGGCACAGTGACGTAAGAGACACGTCTAGGTGGCAGGCCATTTTGAAGTTCAGTCTGAGGCTGCTTGGTGTTGTGAACAGGAGAAATTCCAAGGACAGAGACAGAGTTTTCCACTGTGACAATTTCCTGGATGAGTCTCATGGTGACTAACCAGGTGACTAGTCAGTATGCCGGCCACATTTCAGTCTTGGGGTCCTCCTTTCATAGTCTCAGGTGAGAGGGTGAGAAGCTTGTATGTCCCGTATTTCTGATACCATTTGATACACTTGCTGGTGGCTGATAAGTTACTCCTGGTGCAGGCAGATGGAGGTTGGTTTTGTTGTTGGTGGTGGTGGAGACAGGGCTTCTCTGTGTAATCCTGGCTGTCCTGGAACTCATTCTGTAGATGAGGCAGGCCTCAAAACTCATAGACCCGCCTCCTTCTACCTCCTGAGTGCTGGGATTAAAGGAGTGTGCCATTGCACACTGTTAGATGGCAGTTTGTTAACCTGTGGAAACCGAGTCATTCTTATTGTCTTTTTGAATTTCTGCACACAGACCTTTCCTCCCCCTGCCTTAGTGGTGGCCAGGTGTCCCTAGATTCCTGCTTCTGAACCCGGGACCTGTCTGGATGGTGAAGAGCTGGGATCTAAGGCCAAGGTCAGGGCTTGAGCTCTGACGCTTTTCTTTTTTCCTTAACGATTTATTTATTTGTAATGGTCTGTCCGTGTAAGCGTGTTAGTGGAATTAAAGGCAGTTGTGAGCTGCCTTGTGGGTACTAGGAATTGAACCTGGGTCCTCTGGAAGAGCAGCCAGTGCTCTTAGCTGCTGAGCCATCGAGCCATCTCTCAAGCCCTCAAGCATTGGCTCTTAGTGGCTGTGTGATTTCAAGCAGATTCCCCCACTCTTGTCCTCAGCTTCTGGTCTGAAGATTAGGAAAACCGTGTGACTGGGATGTTCCCATGGAAAGTGTTTGGCATGGTGTGAGTTTACTAAGCGTTCCATAAATATCATTAATGTCCGATGCTTTAGCCTCTGAAACAGAGAGCAGACAGGCTACAGGGCCCTCGGCTGGCTTTGTGCTCTGGTTTCATTCTCACTAGCCTATAGTACCTTCTGAATGTCAGCCGGATGCTTTACTCTGAGGGAAGGACCTATGACCCCTGTTGACATGCTTGTCCAGTGCCCAGTGCCCTTGCTTGTCCTTCGTGTGTGAAAAGAGTTGAACAAGACCACAAACTCCCCCAGCAGGCCTGTCCTGGGGACACAAAAAAGACCTTTGTGTCAATGTTTGACAGATTTCAGGACCTTTCCTTTCCCCGCGGTGACCTAGTGACACAGATAAAGGGCAGTAGGAGAGACATTTATTAATGTGTTACTTAGGCCTGGGCGGCGGAGTAAAGCCTCTGTACAAACCCAGATGAGAGCAGGAAGTGGTGCTGGGTACACGTAATTCCAGAAACTTCAAAGCCACCTTCTGCTATACAGTGGGTTGGAGACCAGCTGGGTCTACGTGTTTCAAAAACAAAAACAAAAAAACAAAATAAATAAATAAATAAATAAAGACCCCCCCCAAATGGGCCAGTTGATGTCTGTCAAGATAAAGTGCACATTATCTACTGAAGCCCCACAAAATCAGTGACGAGACCAGTGTGTTGCCCTTGGGGCCCTCCCAGATCTGAGAGCAAGTCACTAAGCAGCCCTGAGTCTGAAATGAGACCTGCACAGCTGACGGGCAGGCCTGGGGCCCTGAGCTAGTCCTGTACTGCCTTCAGGACTGCACCGTTTGCCATGAAGTCTGGGCTGGCCTTGAACTTGCAATCCTCTACCTCCTGAATGCTGGAATTATAAGCACACATCAGCACGCCTTGCTCTGTGTCTCTATTACAAGCACAGTACGTACTGATCTCTCAATAAGCCAAGAAGTAAGTACTACTATAATCCCCATCTTACAAATGAGGAAACTGAGGCACACAAAAGTCTAATAATTGCTCATGGTGGTGGAGCTGGCATTCAGCCCCAGGCAGATGGGCGCTACACCTTGGGCGCCACATCCCTCAGGCTAAGCAACCCTCGCTGTTTAGTACTGAAAAGAAAACAACCTTCAGCAGAAGCGTTATCCTCGCTATGTGCCCGAAGAAAGAGGGGTTCGGGTGCAGATTAGGGCTCGCATGTCATTTCATCAAGGCCGAACATCCCATAAGGGTTAGAGTCAAGATCCAGACTCAATCCCATCTGCAAACCCTAGCTGTGACCCAGCATGCTTGCTACCTGTTCTCAGGAACTGTCTCTAGCCAGTCAGCAGGTGTCCAGTTCTCCTAGGTGGCCTGTGAAGGGTTAAACTCCCCCACTACAGTTGTGGATTTATGTAGGGAATCATCCTAAGTATTAAAGGTATACTATCTGGATTCAGATCTTCTCCCCAAGGCTCCTGAGAGTATACAGGCCAGGCTTGGTTTTGAGTTTGGTGTGTTTATTCAGAGGCCTCTGCCTGGGGTAGTATGGCTAAAGTAGACCTAGTATGGTTCATCAGGGCTTTCTCCCTCCTCATTCTGATAGCGTACTCAGAGAGACTCTCATATCCATAACTGCGCATCCAGGTCCCTCTTCAGTATGTCCCTCACTCATCCAGGCTCCCAGGAATGCTTGGCCGTCCCCAGGCCATATCACCCTTGAGGGCACACACAGCCCTACACTCAGTACACACATCTTTCCCTGACAGTCAGTCTCTGGGGCCACAGCCCCACCCGCACAGGGTGGCTGAGAGCCCGGCCTCCGGCCCCGCCTCCGGCTCCGCCCCCGGCTCCGCCCACACTTCCGCCGCCGAGGGCCAGCTAAGCTGATTCACGTTTGCTGCTACGGATTTTATGAAACTGGCACGACTCATGAAGGTGTTCATCACTGGCTCGTTTCCGGCCGAGGGCAGGGCTGCGCTCGCCAAGGCTGCAGAGTAAGCGCCCGCGTCTGTACTCGGACTGCAGCTGAGCCCCCGGCTCCCTGCCGCGTCCTCCCGGCGGGTGTCCCCGAACCTCAGACACCCCTGCACCTGCTCAGGGTGGATTGGCTGTCTCCAGACACGCCGCTGGGGCTTCCGGGGCTACCCCACAACTGGGGACTTCCTCCCTAGACCCCGGTGCCTAGCAGGCGGGTGTGGCGTTTGGGGGCTTTTGTTCAGGAGTTGCCCGCTGTGTCCGCGGGGGAGGGGAGGCTTGGAGTTTGGGGTCGTCTTAGAGAGAAAGTTCTCCGAGGTGTAGCTTGCCCCAGGCGATTGGTCTTCGGCCTTCCAGGGAAGGGAGATTGCCTGCGAGGCCAGGTCCAGGCTCTGGATTTTACTCTGAGGTCAGCTGGCAGGCAGGAGTCAGACTGCGACAGTCACTGTCTCGGCTCGGCTCGGCTCTTCGGATGTTCTTCCTGTTGGACCTTCTTTGGTCGCTAGCCTTGCCAGGAGCTGTGAACACAAACTTTCAGTCCTCCCAGCACTGTGAAGTCAGCCTTAGAATTCCTTCGTCACCGATCTGAAAACACAGGCTCGGTGGACTCGTGCCTTGCCCCAGAGTCACCCGGCTTCAGGTAGCAAGCTTGGCCTTTATACTCAGTACTCAGATCTGTCCCATTACAGTCTGGTCACTTCGGCTTTGCGCTGCCATTGTCAGTTTGGGAGAAGGTGAGATCCCTTAGGCCCTTGTAGTTCTGATGGGTTGGGGTGTGTGTGTGTGTGTGATTTGTTTTGAATTTTTTTCCTGAGGACATGTTTTGTTGGGACTTTTGTTCTTGAAGTGCTGGGACAAGTGGCCCTGGGACCCTGTCAGCCACCGCCCTGTACCTCCTGTGCGCACACACCAGGGCTGCTCCGAATTCAATGGTTTGGAGGAGCACCTCACATGAGAGACTGCTAAGGAAGCACACTACAGTGCTCCCAAGGCTAGGCGCCCTTGAGCTGGCAAGTCCACAGGGCAAAGTGTTGTACTTTGTGGACTCATAACTATAACTGTTCATTGAAGATAAACCCTATTAATCTGGTGTAGGACCCCCACACACACACTTTTATATCCTCCCCCAACTTTCTCCACAACAGACTGCCTGGAAACTCACTGAACAGGAGAGAGCTCTCTGGGGTTGAGTCCCTAGGACATTCCCCCTTTCTGCTTAGTCTCTGCTCTGGCCTGGGGGCCCCCTCAGCTCTTGTCAGCTTCCCCCACTCTGGCAGCCCTCATTCCTTCCCCCAACTACATACCAAATAGTTCTGAGGCCCCACACACCTGACCTTAACTTTGGCCAGCCGAAAGCCACAGCAGGTGGAAGGCCATCTTTGCGAGCTGTGCTGTAGCATCCGGGAGGCTCCTTGCATCCTTTAAGGAAGCTCCCTGCGGCCTCTGAGTGGCTTCCCTCCCCTCAGCTGTGAAGTGGAACAGTGGACTTCGGATGAGCCCATCCCCAGAGAGGAACTGGAGCGCCGTGTGGTGGGGGCGCATGGCTTGCTCTGCCGCCTCTCTGACCGTGTGGATAAGAAACTTCTGGATGCTGCAGGTATGTGCTGAGGCTTCCTGGTCAGAATTCTGAGGGGCGCCTTGCCCTGTGAGCACATCAGCTTCCAGCAGCTGGCCAGCCTTGGAGCTGTCTCTAGTGTTTTTCCGAGGGCTTTCCCAACGGTAGCTCCACCTGGCACACATTGTCCCCCATCTGGCCTGTAAGTTCTGGAGAGGCTCCAAGAGGGCGTAGACCACGTGGTTCATGAGTGGGAGTGGAGGAGGGTGCCATGGGCTCCGAACCTTCCTGCTGTGCCATAGCCTTCTTTGTGACCTTGGGATCTCTGGTTCTGTGTGCGGGACAGAGGACCCAGCACGTGTGTGCACCGCTGTGCTCCCAGGTCTTGTTCCTGAGCAGGGTGGACATCACCCTGTGAGTTGTGCTGAGGCAGTTTAAGGAAAGCTTCAGACCCAGGGGCTGCCAGATTCAGTGCAGAACCACTCCCACCCCTGCCCTGCACTCAGATGCTTAGTGGGGGTGGGGGGGCACGCGGAGGTCACATCCCAGCCGCCGCTTCTGGAGTGTCCATAAGGAGGCCTTTGGTGTAGAGGAGACCCAAGGCCACCGGCAGGCCTTGGGTCCGTCTTGAGAGACCCCAGGTGTACTATGGTTGAGCCAATGCACTCCCTGAGCCTCTGTAGGTGGCAGAGGGTGTTGAGCTTCATACGAGGGACAAAGATGACAGCTTTCCCCTTCATCTAAGAAATAATAAGTAGGTGTTCCCGGGATGGCCCTCAGACACTGTGTGTTTTCTGTGCAACAGGAGCCAATCTCAAGGTCATCAGCACCTTCTCAGTGGGGGTTGACCACTTGCCTTTGGATGAAATCAAGAAACGGTAAACACAGCAGAGGTGGGGTTGGGGGGCAAGGGAGTGAGGGCTGACCCAGAGTGGGCGAGAAGGGCTCTCTGCTTGCTCACGTGTGCCTCCATGAGCGTGCAGAGTGGATGATGCTGAAATCATCCACATGTGCACAAGTCACCGAAACCCAGGTAGCTATAAGCTATGGGTGACCTCTGACCCCATCTGTCATGTTTGCTGTCTCTTCTGATCTCCATGGTATCCTAGAAGTAGAAAAGGCAAGTGTTAGTTCCCTTTCCAACGAAGAAATCGGGACCGTTAAGTAGCTCCCCGCTCCAGACCTTAGCCCTGATCTTCCGTGGTCATATCCTCCCCGTGGAGGGCGGTGATGGGAATGAGGGCCCCTTACAGTTCTGAGCCTCCTGGCAGCAGGAGCTAAGAAAGAGCAAATCTACACCATGGAAGTGACCCATCAGTAGACACCGGGGGAGGTGGCGCTTGAGGCCCGTGTTACCACTAGGTGTTTGATTCCTAGTGGAATCCGGGTGGGCTACACGCCGGGTGTCCTGACTGACGCCACCGCAGAGCTCGCCGTGTCCCTGCTGCTCACGACCTGCCGCCGGCTGCCAGAGGCCATAGAGGAGGTAAAGAAGTAAGTCCTGGTGGGAAGGCAATGGGCCTGAGATGGCACTCAACTAAAGTAGTTCAGGCACAAGGCAGAGCTGCATTAGAGGGGGCAGAAGGGGAAGTCGGGAGATCTGGGTGCAGGCGGAGTGGATCCAGTAGCTACCGAGTGCATCGCTGCGCACTTGCGGTGCTGGGATCGACAAGCTGCAGGACCGGAAGTAGCCCTGGGAGCCAAAGCTGCCCACGTCACGCTATTGTGGCTCTTCGGTGTGAAGAGCAGGGAGCTTTCTTGACAGTGCCCAAGGGCCTCATGTGCGGAATGTGTGGGCACAACTGAAAAAACGTTTTCCCAACCAGTGCCCACCAGGTTCTGGGCGAGAAGCCGGAGCCTGGCCTCCTTGGGGCACACTGTGGAAGGCAGTTTTTGTGCTGTAGGGTCCTGAAACCCCACATCTTAAGTGTGTAGCCTCTGTTCCCAACTCTGGTGGTGCAGTCTCAGGCGGGTCACCCTTCTGCAGGCTTCCCCATCTGCAAAAAGCAGGCGTACGTCTAAGGCCCTTGTGGCCTCACTTCCTGTGTCCCCTAGTGACTTCAAAAGCCAGTCTGTTGTCCGACTCTAGCCCTATGACCTGAAGGCAGGGTTAGCTTCAGACCAAGGCCCAAGGCCCGGAATGCTCAGCGTGTGGGCTCCTGTGGCCCCTTGTCTCTTCCCAAGGTTGGGCTAACCCTCCCTCCCCCCCTCCCCCACAGTGGCGGCTGGAGCACGTGGAGCCCATTGTGGATGTGCGGCTATGGACTCTCGGAGAGCACTGTCGGCATCGTGGGGCTGGGGCGCATAGGTGAGGCTCCCACTACCTGCCCCCCAGCCTTCTCCAGTGCCATAAGCCTGGACAATGGGTGTCCTTTGGAGAGGCTGTTTGTGGCTAGACTAAAAAAATCAAGCAAGCTCAAGAGTGCCCAAGAGCTCACTGGCTCACAGGAGCTCATGACAATGAAGGCTATCAGGTGGCGCTGGCTGTAGGAAGCGGCTTACTGTGGGAAAGCCTGCACCAACCTGGACCCCGGTTCTGAAAGGCAGGCTACTTCTCACTCTGCAAGTTGCAGCTGAGGGTCCCCTCTCCTTCAGTGCTGTGACCTCAGAAACCTGGTAGGAGGTTAGGGTGCCGTCATCCTGCCTGTATAGAGGCAGCATCCAGGAGTGGAGAACGAGGTAAACCTGTCTGGCCAGCCAGAAATCCTTGAAGCTTCTTGGAGGAGACCAACAACCTGGAATGTGTTTGAGTCTGAGGACCCAAGGATCCAAGCCTGTTGGCAGTAACATTCATGAAAAACTCTTGTAGGTCTTGGGGTACAATTTGGCAGCTGGGCAAGAGCCTCCAAAGTCAAGAGGCAGGGATGTGTTCACAGAAGTAGAGCATTCAGAAGAGGAGAGAGGGGACCTCTTGACCCCCCCTATCTTTAGAGGTACCACATCCAGGTCTTGGAGAAAGTCAGCAAGTGACCCTCAAGATGACTGGGACTATGTGGAGCCCGTGTAAGCCAGTTCATCTACCAAGTGTGCCACTGCCTCCGAATCCTTGGAACAGTGCCCTGTCTGAGGACAGGTTAAACTGGGGCAGCCTAGCTCCACTAAGACAGAACAGGGTCCCCCTCTAAGGGTCAGTTGCACTTGCCCTCTGGAAGGTGGGTGCAAGCTGTGGTCTCCTTGCCGCTAGGTCAGGCCATTGCTCGACGGCTGAAACCATTTGGTGTCCAGAGATTTCTCTACACGGGGCGCCAGCCCAGGCCTCAGGAAGCAGCAGAATTCCAGGCCGAGTTTGGTAAGTAAAACCCTGATTTCTCCTGGAGTCCGTCACGATGGTGGTGACAATGGTGGTATGTCATTTACAGGCAGGATGCAGGAGCTTGAGGTGTCCGGGGGGCTTCTGTGACCCTTACATGTTCTCTAGTCTACCGGCTTGGGACACAGGAGGGCACTCAGGAGCACAGACGTCCATCATGTGCCTAAACCTGGAGTTTTCTCTTCTGGGTGGAAAGCCCTAGTAACCATCTTTGTCTCTGCCCATCTCAGAGCTGGTCTTACAGGTGTCCTCAGGATGTTACGTGGGTACTGGGACCCGAACTCTGGCTCTCTTGATCATTTTAACTGCTGAGCCATCCTCTAGCCCCTTCACCATAGTTTTTAAGACACGGTCTCTCACGGAGTCTTACACCGACTGAGGCTAGAGTGACAGGCCAGTGAGTTCCGGGAGCCACCTGTCTCCGTCTCTCCAGGGCTGGAATTCCTGTCTTGCCCAGATTTTCAGGTGGGTCCTGGGAATCCAAGCTCAGGTTCTCCTGCTCATGCAGTGGGCATTTTACTGACCGAGACATCTCCCGGGCCTCCCTAGTCCACTGATTTTGGAGATAGTTTTGCTTTGTAGCTCTGGCTGGCCTCCAAGTTAAGGTAGCCCTCCTGCCTCAGCCCCTAGAGCATTGGAATTACTGGTATGCACCATCGTGCCTGGCATCCTGGGAGTTCCTTTTGAGGGAGATGGGAGCTACTCCATGCCCTTGGCCTGTGCCATCTTACTGTCCCTCAGGCTCTGATGAAGCCCTTCCCTCCCCTCCCTCTCCCCCAGTGCCTATTGCTCAGCTGGCTGCAGAGTCCGACTTCATTGTAGTGGCCTGCTCCTTAACACCTGATACCCGGGGCCTCTGCAACAAGGATTTCTTCCAGAAGATGAAGAACACAGCTGTCTTCATCAACATCAGCAGGTAGCCAAGCTGCCCCCATCCCTGGGTCCCCCAGCACTCCTGGAAAGGGCAGTGCCCACCCCCTGGCACCTGGCTTTGCTGTCCCTGTTGGTGGTGCATGCGCTCAGGAAGACATGTCAAGCTCTGTAAACCAAGTCAAACACAGGAAAGGCCCGCTGAGAAATGGCTGAGGAAGATTGGTCAGCATAGCCTTCTGGTTCCCCGCAGTAGCCCAACCTTGCTCAGGGTAGTGTGATTCAAAGGCTGGGGCCTACAGAGGGTCCTTCAGAGTCTGTTAAATACTCCCGACCTCTAGTGTGCCTGGAAGTTAGGGTTTCCTCAGGAGCCCAGGAAAGTTTATTAGCTCTGTCACAAGCTAGTGAGTGGCAGGGCTCCAGTCAAAACTAACGCTAATATGCAGATGGCCTTACAAGTCAGTGCCAGGCGATGAGTGGAAATACATTCTGTGCTTGTTCTGCCCTAAAGGCGGCTTGGGTGAAGGGAGTGTCTGGGCCCCCAGATCATACTGTCACTTTCAGGGGAGATGTCGTAAACCAGGACGACCTGTACCAGGCACTAACCAGCGGTAAGATTGCAGCAGCGGGGCTGGACGTGACCACCCCAGAACCCTTGCCTCCAAGTCACCCACTGCTGACCCTGAAGAACTGTGGTAAGAGCTGTTTCCAGGATAGATGTGTAGCCACCCTATGGCATTTTGAGACAGGCCTGGCTATGGGGCTAGCCTAGGCAATGCTAACCCAGGGGGCCCAGCCAGGGACTGGAAGTGTGTAGGTTATTAGTGACTGGTGTTTAACAGGAATGTGATGCTCAGTTAAGTCTCTGTCCCTATGGGGACAGATCCAAAAAACGAATGGGTTTGTTGAAGTAAGACTGATGTCATTCCTATAGCCACTCATGGGGCTAACTCGTCACTCTGAATGGCTATTACCACTGTATGGAAAGGCCATGTCACCACCGGTGTTTTCAGCTGGTGCCAGTTATGAAGCTTCTAGCAGCCACCAGCTCATTCATGTTGTGGCTGGAGAATCAGTTTTATGTTTTCCAACATCTGGCTCACCAGCCATCAGTGCCCCTAGACTTCTGAGTCTGGGCCCTTCTTTGGCCTTAGGCATTTTAAGTCTCCCTTCTCCCTTTGTTCCCAGGGCCCCAGATGGCTCTTGGTACTTTGTCAGCAATTGCGTTGGCTAGTTTTGTTTTTTTTTTTTTCTTTCTTTCTTTCTTCTTTAATTGTCTCTTGGAAGGACTGAGCCACTGGTTACCAGATCCTGCCCTAAGGGCTTCTGTAGGTTTTTGACTACCGCTGGAGACTGTGCCCTTCATGGGCTCCCGATGAAATGCTGGTGCTTCTGGCCCTAGGAGCATTTTGAGACCCTGGCCTCAGCACTAGCCTTTCCTCCCTGTTCAGGAATTAGTGGTGTTTCCCTAGACTCACCGAGAGGCATCAGGGCTATGGAAGTCCCCATGCCTTCTGGAGAGGAAGCCCAGGCATGTTCTTGGTGCCCCTTCAGTGAAGGCTCCATTATTTCAGCCCTTGGCAATCCCTCTGACCCCATCCCCATGCCAGCCTGCGAGGAACACTGGCTGTGCCGTGAGGGAAAGCTGGCCCTGCCCCTGCTTCCTGCCCCCACTTGCTCTGCATTGGGACCAGAGGCACCTACGGTCCCAGCGTTTGATCATGGAGTTACTTCAGTTCAGAAGCCCTGTGCCATCGTTCTCAAGGGTGCAGGGTGAGGTAAACTGCTAGGCTCCGAAGCTGGTGCCTAGAATCACCGTCCAGATAGGCAGCAAGACTCCCTGTTGCCTACCATATTTTTAAGGGTTCAAATCTTTTGCTTGGATTTGGGTCTCAGCATAACCTAAGTCTAGGAGGGCACAGGCGGAGGGTGCAATGACAGATCCTTTGCCCTGTTAACTGGTAGTCTGGGACCAACGCTTCCTTCTCCCTCCAGTGATCCTGCCTCACATCGGCAGTGCCACCTATAAAACTCGAAACACCATGTCCTTGCTGGCAGCTAACAACTTGCTGGCTGGCCTACGAGGGGAGCCGATGCCCAGTGAACTCGAGCTGTAGCCAGATGGGCTTTCAAGATGGAGACATCTTGCTGGACTTTGGACTCGGGAAAGAGCCTGGCGGAAGCCTCCTCCACTACATCTTCAGGGGAGCATGGGAACTGGCAAACGGGCTTGCCACGTCTAAGCCAAAAGTCTGTAATTCTAGCATTAAATAATTTCTGACACGGTGTCTGGGCCTGTGACCGGTGGCACTAACAGAGCATCTCTTGTGTTTGCTGACTCGGGGCACCTGGTGATCTGTCTTGGCTCTGCTTCCCACGCTGCCCTCACGGAGCAAAGACCAGGAGAACCAGAGAAACGGCACCTGAACCCAATACCTGCACCCCGGTGAAAGAGCAGAAAGCAGAGGGGAAAGCTGCAGGAAAGGAGGGGGTGAGATCAGCACTGTTGTCAACCATAGTGAAGGCAGAAGGATTCCCAGTTTTGAGATCTGGATCCATAGCTACCTGTTGTTCCCTCTGCACCCCAGGTAGAAGCCCCTATGAAATCGCCCTTCACTCCTCCCCAGGGCCAGGCCACAAGCACTGCCATGGCAAAACCTCCCACATGGTCATGGCACAGACAGGTGCGGGGGAGGGGAAAGCAGGAAGAACTGCTGGGTGCCAGCATTCCTATTGGAGGCTCACTGATTTGAAGCCCACCCAGCAGTGGGGCCAGTAGAGAAGCACTTCCCTGTTTTGTTTCGACTTTAACCTAAGTAGAGGAGAACACGTATTTAGAAGCATGAATATGGCAAATTTTTTATTTCAAAATCTGCTTTGACCAGCATTAGCACCAACAAGGTGCCTCTACACTTGATGCGATCTCCAGAAGATTGTACATGATTATGCCGGGCTATAATTAAGGCTAAAAAATCAAAAGTCAGGTCCCCAGTATCAGTTAGAATCCCAGCAGAACTCCAGGTCACAGCAACCCTGGTCTAGCTTCCCAGGGCCCCTTGGGAATCTTTAAGGGCTACAGCGTGTTGGAGGACACTGGCCTGCAAGCTTGCTTCTCACACGTAGAGACTGACTACGAGGTAGATGAGATTCCAGGTCCATCCAGCAGTGGAGAGGCGGGTCCCAAAGCAAAGTCCATTTGTATCCAAGCTGAGGCGAGGGGTAGACTCCAAACACCACATCCTTAAGATAGGAGGGATGACTGCCACTCTCTGCCTGTGACACTGGCTCCTCGCCCAGCAGGGCATCTCTGGTTCTCCATGCTGACCCCCGCTCCCACGGGTTCCTACATCATGACGGTGGATATAGAGACCCACCTCCATCATGTCTCGACAGTTCTGCTGACAATAAGCCACTGCTGTCTTTCAATGGTCTCTTTCCCACACACCTGCTTAGAAGAAGGGCCCAGGTTTCCAATGGGCCTTTCCTCCCTGGAACTCAGCTCAGATGGCATGCCCTTTCAACATTACAGGTCTACCCACGTCTACCCACAGACTCATGGTCACACTAGCTTAGGAGAAGCACACTCGTTGTTTAGGAAATAGAGAAATGTGGAGCTTTCTGCGCTTAAGAACTGAATTTCTCTGAATTATGCACAATGGTTTGGTGTCCCTGAAGAAAGATAAATGGAAAAAGAATTCTTGTCCACGAATGAACTAAATGAGCTACAGATATGCATGGTCCCGTGCTGTTCCCTAGGTGCACACCGGGAGCAGCAGCCCTGCCAGCAAGGCAGAGGGAGGACACAGAGATACCGGACAAAGAACCGAATGCCTCTCTAAGAGCCTTGGATGTTTCTGGTGAGTTCTATGCTGTGGGCTGCCTAACTCTTCCAAAGCCTGGAAAAGACTGAGCCGTGAACACTACCACATTTAGGTTTCAAATAACTAGACGCTGACCGTTAAAGGAGCGACCCCATGACAGCCGAGGTCATAGAACTGTGGTTGCTGTGGTTAGTTCAGCTGGTCCTGCCTGGAGAGAGGGTCTATGGGGCTTGGGAGTGAGAACTAACAAAGCAGAGTAGCTGATCTCAGGTGACGGGGCCAGCCAGACTGGATGGAGTGAAAGGCGTATGTACCATGAACCCCACAAAACAGGACTCCATATTACCAGAACGACAAGAGACACTAGCTTCCTGCTGACTTCAAACAGAACTACGACATCAGAAGTACATCATTGGAAACACTGCTAACACAGCACACAGAGAAACACCCCACCATCACCCCTACAAGTACACACTCCACTTACAATTTTGTTTTAAAAATCGGAAAAAATAAAATAAAAACACCTATTTCACAGAGATGATTCAAAAGTATATACACCTGTTAGTCCAAGGGTGTATTCCCTGGACCAGTCAGCACCATCAGAGGGCAGTATCGGTGACTGCAACTCAGATTAAAAAAAAAAAAATACAGTCCTTTCTGAGGCCTAGGACTAGCTCAGGACACACTTTAAAGCATTTGTGGCAGACTTGTTCTCCAGGGCCCTTTCTTTTCAGACAGCACCGAGTTACCTGGTTACACCTAAGTATGTTTTGCACTGCTGTACAGGGATGAGATATTCCCATCAGAGGGTGTAGGAATTTAATTAAATGCTTCACAGGGCTTTAAAATAGTGTTAAAATGTTTTTCAATCGCTTCCATTTCTAAATGTGACACTCTTAACATCATTGACAAACTATCAGTGACAAACTGCACTCAACCTTAAGCAAGGCCTTGGTTCCGGTCGCTTTCCCTGGTGCACACCTCCCTCAGAGTGCTGCCGTGTAAGCCTGACACCGAACAGTTCTCTGCTTCCTACTGGCTGAAATTCAAAGAAACACCAGCCAGCTGAGGCCTCACGTCCAGTGGCATTAGCGGCCTGCCAACAACGACTTTAATTTCAGTCCAGACCTGGCCCGTGTACGTCTCACGAGCAGAGATGGTTAGAGCAACGTGCTGGGGAGGTTGCTGCTCTGCCAGCGCAGGCAGGTGGTCTTCGAGTGTTTGTACAGGTGGCTGGACTGACTGAACCGCTTGCCACACTTGAGGCAGGCGTATGGCTTCTCGCCTGTGTGAACTCGGATGTGCTTCTTGCAGTCTGTCAAAGTCAGAAAGGTTTTACAGCAAATTTTGCAGGCGTACTTGCGAGCCCCCTCCACCACCAAGACATTGTGCTCTGATAAGGCCTTCTTGCACTTTGATAAGACATCCGCAGAGGCCCTGGTCAGCTGCGGAGGGCCAGGCTGGGAAGGGTGGCCGTTTTCAAATGTGGTGGTCCCGTTCATCATCAGCTGGGAACTGGCAGGGTTTTCAGGGATCTGTGAGCTCCGGACAGAAGTTACAACCGGCATTTTGGGAGCTATGCGTCGGTAGTATGGAAAGTTACTGCCTCCTCCTCTTGAGGAACCCATCATTGCCCTGGAGAAGGAAGAATGGAGACCCAGGCCAGACCTAGAAAAATCCATCCCAAATTGTTCTCCTTGGTAGCCTGAGGTCTGCACACACGGCAGGCCCATCACCTCCTGCACAGGCCTGACAAAATGGGAGTCTGCAGGTTCACTGAATGGGTTCTCCACATGGGAACCCGGGGCAGAGGAAGGCCCACCTGCAGGCCCAGCCTCTGGACTCAACAAGTAAGGGGCCTCCCCCTCCAGCCGGCAGTCACTGGTGGTATTTGGGATGTTGTCATCGGTGCTCTGACCTGCGCTAAAGTTATTCCCCCTGCTCTTGTTGAGAAAATTTGAAATGCTGAAAGAGGTCTTATGTTCTAGATTATTTGTGACTTCCAAGATGTGGATGTCCCCAACCCTGTCTGTACTGGACTGGGGATCCGAAAAGCTCCGGTCACTGCTTTCAGGGCTGAGGTCTATCTTCTCAGCACTGACCACCACGCCTTCCACTTCCACAGATTCGCTGCCCTCTGCCTGGGAGGTCACGTCACTCACTTCGTCCTGTGGCTCGGGAGAGCTCAGGGGCTCGGACTTCACCACCACTCTCATGTGCTCCTTCTCCCCAAGCCCGACCTCAGGGTTTTCACACTGGAAACTGCCTTTCTCGGCTACAGCTTCTTGTTCAAAACCTGTTTCAACCTGAGTTGCACGAGAGGCCATGTTGCCAGCACTGCCATCTGACTGGCTGGGCATCTGGGCATCTTCTTGGGCACCAAAAGGCCGATCAAACAGCATAGCACCGTCTTCCTGGTTGTCAGCCATCCCATCAGGTTTAGGATTATCCACAATTTTCAGAGAATCTGGCGAAAAGAACTCCTCTCGGGAATGAACGCCCGAAGGCCCACTCTCTGGAGTAACATCTGAAATGGCAGACTCGTCCATGGAGGAGCGCAGGCGCTGCCGGGCCCGCTCCTCTACAGACTGCTTGCGCTTGTGAAGGCGTCTCATGGGGAAGGGTGTCCGCTGGTCCAGGTTGCTGCGCATGGATGAGCTCATGGGGGCTGGAGGCTCCTCGCCACTCTGGCTGGAACTGAGGGCTGAGCTCACAATGCTCAGTCCCAGCTGCTGCAGCATGAAAGAGCGCTGCATGCGAGCACTCTGCTCCTGAACACGCTCGCTGGGGGGAGACATGGGCAGCGTCCTTGTTGTCAGGTAATGTTTACATGCCTTAACAACCGAGTTCAGATGCAGGTGAGAGGCTGCCAATAAGACATCCATAACGTTGCTCTCCCCTAGCATGAGGGTGGAGGTATACATCATGTCAATCAGCGCGGCAAAGGCCTCTGCTGTCACTACCTCACTATCGAGCTGGATCATGTTCATGGTTTGATCTCCCTCTGCCACAGAGAACAGAGCTCGGAAATGCGTGCTGCATGCTGCCAGCACGGAGCGGTGGGCTTTGAAATGTCTGTTCCCCACTACAATGACACAGTCACAGAGCTGGCCATGAAGTCTCTGGTAGTTCAACTGCTGAAAAATCTGCTCAAAGTGACCAGGAAAATCCATTGTCCTATAGGAAACACAAGGAAAAAAGTGTTATTTCCTAATGAAGCTTAACGCAGAGCCAGTACACAGACTGCAGTAGAGCGTGTGGGGCTGGCAAGATGGCCCAGCCAGTCAATGTTCCTGCTGACAAACTGAGTTCTATCCCTGGGTCCCAGAGAACCAACTCCTAAAAGTCGTGATCTGACTGCTAAACACACAGCAGGCGACATGCACATACGCACACACACAGAATAAATAAAAATGTGATTTAAGGCAACTTTAAAGCATGCTGGCCACATTTGGAGCTTTGAAAGC